TGAAATCAGACCCTTGCACACTCTTGCACTTACTAGGGAAGCACTTACTCCACTGAGCCATCTCCCCAGAACAAAGTTTTAAATTGTACTGTTACTTTCTCTCTTTAGGCATGGTGCATTTTGTGTGTTTGCTATTGTGAAGGTAGAAAGATGTTTTGTGTTTTCTTCTAAAGGCTTTTTTACCCTTCACATTTAGATAGATAATTTTAGAGCTAATTGTTTTAAATATTACACTTGTAGCACTACTACTGGCTTGAGAAGAAGTTTCTCCGTGCCTTTTTTGGGGGGCTATTTTTCCATATTCTACAGAGTGAAAGAGCGAGCATTTCCATTGCTCACAGCTGGACTTAGAGTACAAGAAGTCTTTGATATGACCAGTACAGTGTTTTTTTTTTTTTTCCTTTTCAAAGTTTTATTGATAAACATATAGCAATGAGACAGTTTCAAATCAAATCGAAAGTACAGTTTCAACAAATAATACACTGCATATATTCTTCTTAGTGGTTAATTGCTGTACAAGATGCAGACTTGTGATCCTACTTACAAACACCATTAGAAAAAATCATTCTATTCATTAAGAGAATGCAACTATATATCTATCCCAACCACTTTGAATACACAGATACAAAATGGACATTCATAGTTATACCCCAATTTTTTTTTAAGTTCCGTTGTTGAATATTATAGGTGTGTAAACAGTACAGTGTTTTTAATGCACATTTTGTTAAACAAATGCTGGTCTTTGTGCTTTGATATAGTACCAATTTGTAAAACTTTAGGTTAGAAAATTCTGTGCAAGAAGAGTTTATTACTATAAAAGGTCTTATGGATAAAGGAAATTTTCTCTTCTGTCATTGGAATTAAATTAATAAGAAGCACTCAAGTTCTTTTTTCTTTTTCCAGTCCTTTTTTTTGGTATTAGGTGAGGGTCTACAGGGTGTTCAGGGTCTCACTAATAGAGCAGACTCACAGTGATCTGCATGTTTACAGCCTCCCAAGAGCTAGGATTACAGGCGTGCGCCACCATGCTCAGTCTCAATTGCTGTCTCAGTGCATCCTGGGGGTGGGGCTGGCATGCCAGGCCCAGGGATGGAACCCCCAATCCTCTGAGCTATTTGGCTGGCCCTTTTTATGGAGCTTGGAATTGAATTAAGGCCTTGCACATGCTAGTTAAGTGGCCCTCTCATTGAACTGCATCCCTATCCCTTTTTAAATTGTATATTTGTTTGTTTTAGTTTTTGAAAAAGGATTTGACTATGTACTTTAGGCTGTGTTTGAACTCAGTATGTAGCCTAGGCTGGCCTTGAACCCATGGTGATCTTGCCTCTTTAGGCTCCCAAGTGCTGGGATTCTTTCTATCCTTCTATTTCAGATATCCTAGTAGCTGGGAGGACAGGCCTGCTGGCATTCAGACCTCTAAGCCTCCTTGTGTGCTACTGGGAAGAAGATGCTGGGTAGTTCCTTATAAGCTGGGGGCTGAGAGACAAGTCAATGTTGGGAGGATAGCATTGTTTGCTGCTGTGCTCTTTACTTTGGAATACATTCTGAGAATGCCATTGCATGCGGTAGAGATTCCTTCTTAGGAAGTATTGGGAACTTGCAGGACATTTTTGTGTCTTGTTTTCGAGAACTAAAGATTTGTTGGAGATGAGTCTTACATGTCTGTCAGTCCACTTGGGAGGAAAGGGGCTAATATTTGTAGAATATCTTGTGTTCCATGCAAATATGTTCCTGCATACAAATATGTTCCATATGCTTTACATAGTTCCATATGTTAACTCACTCAGTCCCTTTAATAGGCTTCATAAGGTAGATATTTAACATAATATCTACCTTATGAAGCCATTTAACATAATGCAGATGAGGAAACAGATTTTTAGAAGAGAGGCTCTTTTGAACTATATATGATACTTCTGACACCAAATGTGTGTGGTTCCCCTCCCCCACATTAACCAGTACTCCAGATCGCTGGACACAGATTGGGTGTCCACGATTTCATTCAGTTGTGACAGTAATGACCTAGAGTTTATGCAGCCCCCGCAGGTTAAGGGCCCAGTCCTGGAAAACATCTCTCCACTTGAGGTGCTAATCAGAAATCCCAGGTTGCCATCTATACTGCTATACATAACAGGGGTTATATATAACCAATCAGCTATATATAACAGGGGTTTCCACAACTCCTTTCCTCAGGTTCAGTAATTTGTTAGAATGGCTCATAGAAGCCAGGAAAATGCTTTACTATTACCCATTTATTATAAGTGATACAACTCAGAAACAGTGAAAATGTGTTGAGCTCCATTCCCTTTCTGGTGGACCACTCTCAAGCACTTCAGTGTGTTCAACAGCTCAGAATCTCTTTGTTTTCTTGCTTGGTTGTAGTGTGTGTGTGTGTGTGTGTGTGTGTGTGTGTGTGTGTGTATGTGTGTTTCATTACTATGAGACGTGATTGAAAAAGTCATTACTTACTGTTGTTTAACTTAGTCTCAGATCTCTTTCTCTTTTCTACTGATAGTGTTTGGGGCTGAAAATTTCATTTTTTGAGTCATCCTTAGTCTTTCTGGTCAATAACTTCTGCCCTGAAGCTGTTTCATGGCCCTGGTCACTAGTCATCTCATTAGCATATAGAAGTCACTCCTATCACTTTAGGAAACCAAAGGCCAAATACACACTGATTACAGAGACCTGGGTAAATTACTTAAAAATGAACAAAACATGGAACTAGTATTTGAGTTTAAATTTGCCTGTCTTTAAGCATCTCTTTCTTCTACTGTTGTGCATATATTGTAAGATGTATTGTAGTATCTTCCCAGCTGTATCTGGATAAGAGACTCCTCCAGATTGGAGGATGTTCTTTGCTTGTAGGAGGAGGTACAAGCTTATCATAACTACTTGCTGTAAATGAATTAAAATCTCCTGGCCCAGACAAATTACATTGAAGAATTCCAAAGAATCATAAAAGTATAAAGTAAACCATAAAATCATAAAATAAACCAGAAAAAGGGTAAGAGCTTGATATAGTCCTAATCAGAATTTAGCGTGGAGGCTAATAGTGTAGCTCAGTGGTAGAACACTTGCTTAGCATGCTCAGAGCCTTGGGTTTAAAGATCCCCAGTAGTGCAAAAAAGCAAAACACCATGAACAAAACTAGGGAGTGGTGGTGTTTGCTTTTAATCTCAGGAATGGTGAGGCAGGAGAATCAGAAATTCTAGCCCAGCCTGAGCAATTTAGCCACTTAGTGAGACTGACTGGGGGGTGGAATGGGGGAGCTGTGGATGTAGCATAATGTGGAGATCCTGGTTCAGTCTAGTACTCAGAAAATAGAGTGGAATTCTTTGCTTTTTGGGAAGTGATTAGATTGAGAGGTTACCAGTGGATTAATCCTGGAGGCTTGACCATGGGGATCAGAGTCCATCCCCAACCCCTTTTCTCTGGTAGTCTTTGCGGCCATGTGGTGAGAAGCTTTACCTCACTATGCTTTTCTGCCATGGTTTCTGCTTCATCATAGCCCTGAAAGCCCTGGGGCCGGCTGCTCTTGGCCTGACACCTCTGAGTGGCTCATAGAAGCCAGGAAAGTGCTTTACTATTACACATTTATTATAAGTGATACAACTCAGAAACAGCGAAAATGTGTTGAGCTCCAGGCTGCTCTTGGCCTAACACCTTTGACATCTTTTTTTTTTTTTTTATTTTAAGAAGAGTCTTTAACATTCCCCAAATGTATTTGGTACAGTGTCTCACTATGCAGCTTGCATAGCATGCAGTGCTGGGGATCAAACCCAGTCCTTGTGCTTGCCAGGCAGGCACTGAGAATTCTGAGCTGTCTTCATGGCCTCTGAAATCTTGCCTATAGTAATCCTTTTCTCCTTTAAATTGTTGGGTATTTAGTCTTTGCAACAGAAAGCTGTCTAATACAGGCAGTTCTGCTGTCAGTGAGGTGGTGACTGAGGATGTGTCATGAATGTTTCCACATTCATTCATAAGAGTTGGTTTCATGTGTGTCCCTTGGGCACTTGAGATTCTGGGAATTTCACCCAAAGGACAGGGGTACTCCAGATTGTGTGTTGACATCAAGCTTAACAGAGGAGTTTGGGCCAAAGAAGTAAGGCATACCGTGTGTGTGTGTGTGTGTGTGTGTGTGTGTGTGTGTGTAGTTGTCCACAAAACACAAGGAGTTAAAGGTTGACCAAACAAGCAGTATACTTTGGTTACCTATGTACCCAGTTACACTTGCCAAAATCTGTGGGGATGAAAACTGTCAAAGTGATAAAATTGCAAGGAAGAAGTCTTAAGTGTATTGTATAGGGACTTTGGAAAAAAAAACAACCCTATAAGATTAAGAGCCGGGGCCCGCCAGATAGCTGCTTAGGCAGGTGCAGGGACCAGGTTCATCCCTGTGGCATGCTGAGAAGGCCATTGAGACAGGGCATGGTAGTGCACGTGTAATTCCAGCGTTTGGGAGGCTGTAAAGGAGGATCACTATGAGTCCGATCTGTGTAGTGAGACCCTGTAGACCCTGTACTAAATACATTAAAAGAAAAAAAAAAAAGGCCAACATGGCCCACTGAGGTTAGGCTAACCTTACATTTTCTTCATTGAGTGATATTTTAATGGGAATAATTAGGGTATATTGGGGATAAGAATTTTGCGCGTCTAACAGGTGATGAATTAGAGGTATAGGATGGAGCAATAGCTCAGAGAGCGCCTGCCTGGCAAGCAAGGTACTGAGTGCGATTTTTGACTAGAGGCATAGGAAGGAGATGTGCTAGTAACAAGACTTACTTAATAAAAAAGTAGGACATTTAGGGGCGGCTATAGGTCACCGGTGAGGAGTCCCGCTAGCCCCCCTAGCCTGGAGCGAAACTTGTTGCCCCTCCCCCACCCCAAAGGAGCGCGCGCTCCCCCGGCCAGGGCTCGCGCCAGGGGGCGGGCCTCGGCAACGCCCGGCGCAGGCGCAGTGAGCTCACAGGGCGGCCCCAGGGGCGGGTTGTGGTTCCGGTTCCGGTGCCGACACACGTGAAGCCAAGGTCGGTGAGTTGGTGCGGTGCGTGTCGCGCGAGCGGGTGCCCGGACGAGCGTGGCCGCTCTGGGATGGAGTCCTCGTCCTCGTCCTCGGCGGCGGGTGTGGGCGCAGTGGACCCACAGCTGCAGCATTTCATGGAGGTGGAGAGTCAGAAGCAGCGTTTCCAGCAGCTGGTGCACCAGATGACCGAACTCTGTTGGGAGAAGTGCATGGACAAGCCCGGGCCAAAGTTGGACAGTCGGGCCGAGGCCTGCTTTGTGAACTGCGTGGAGCGCTTCATCGATACGAGCCAGTTCATCCTGAACCGCCTGGAGCAGACCCACAAGTCCAAGCCAGTTTTCTCAGAAAGCCTTTCTGACTGATCGCAGCGTTACTTGTTTGGAAAAGGAACGTAGTCAAGAAAAGGAGCGCAGTTGATGGGATGAAGAAATGGCCATGGGGGACTGACTCCCCCATTTTCTCTTTCTTGGGACATCTTGGCGTGAGAATAAACAAAAGCCAATTTTTTTGTGTGGGGTTTGAGGGTCATATGTGTATTTACTTTTTTCCCCTTCTAATCTTGTGAAAATAATTGACAGATGAGTGAGAAATTACTAGTAGTTTATCCTATGTGGCACTATCCTTTTTTCAAAGCTCCCTTGTTTCATGTAATTTTGATAGTGGCACTTTATAATTTTTTTCCTTCCTATATTTTGGTACCACTACCAGATATAATCTGTGAATTCGTTTCAGATTTTTTTGGAAGATCTTTGTGTCTTTCAGAAAGGACGGCAGTGAGGGAACAATTTGGCACTTAACAGCACCTAATCTAGTGATTTTGGCAGTGCTGAAAAATCTATGGAATATTTATACAGCATATTTTAGTATTCTAGGTTGTCTCCCCTATACTCTCACTTAAATCCCTATATTAAAGTATGGTCTCAAGGTAGAACGAACAATCTAAGAATCAAGAGGCTTTCGTCATGAAGAAATCTAGCCAGTGAAAATAATTCTTGTTACTACGTGGCACAGAAGTAAGTTAATTTACCCTGTATATTAGGGTATAAAAAATTAAAAGGGGTGACTTTTAATTTTAAAGTTAAAAATTAAAGATTTAGACCAAAAGCAAAGCAGTTTTTGGTAGAGGTGTATATCTGCTGTTAATCATAGATTGTGTTAGCTGCATTCTTTTGATCATAAATTCCACAAGATTTCTAAAAAGACAACTTTTAGTTAGCTGCAAGTTTAATTTATGCAAAGTGTGGTTTAGTTGAGAGATTAGATGGACCTGTCTTAAATAGTGTTAAACTACACGTAGAGTAGGATTCAGTTCTATAAACAAGGGTTGTGAGGGAAGTGAAAGTCATGCTGTATGAACTATATTCAAAGGACTAGGTTTAATTTTGAACAGTAAATGGCTTTGAAAATAGCTGCAGTGGAAGAGTTCCAGAAAAATCTTGTGGCTGTGGAAATTACAATATTGTTGGAATACCATAGATTTTGATGGAGCTCACTGGATAAATGTAGACTGCTTAATCAGGCAGAGAAGAGCATCAACAAAAGAATGAAGGCATGAAAAAAGGATGCCCTCTGGGGAAATGCAGAGAGGAGAGGAGTGGTAAGAGAAGAAATACATGTTGGCAGTTGCTTTATAGGCAAGTGGAGATACTGGTGTAGAAAGAAGAAAATGCTTTTCTTTTTTTTTTCTTCTCTTCAATACTGGGAATCAAACTCACAGGTGCATTATAACAGCAACATTGCCAATCCTTTTTTATAATTTTTTTTTTTTCCCCCGGAACCGGGTATTGAACTCTGGCCCTTGCACTTGCCAGGGAAGTGCTTATTCCACTGAGCTATCTCCCCAGCCTGCCAGTCATTTTTTAAAAAAACAAGTTGCCTTGGTGGATTTCATTTTGCTGCTTCTCTCAGCCTCCTTGATTGATGGCAGTACAGGAAACCTGGCCATTTGTGCTAAACCAGGCCAGGGTTCAAACTTTTCCATTTCCCTTTTGTTTTCTCTTTCCCTTACTGAATTCTTTTTTTGCATGCGAAGGGTGGTGTTGGTAGTGATTGTTGTGTGGTGGAGACAGTGTCTCACTACCTAGTTCAGGCTGGCCTTGAACTTGCAAGTGCTGTGGTTACATCATGCCCAGCTCCATCCTTTAAATATGTTCAACTTTATGAGAGGGTTCTAAAATCACATAATTCTTTTTGTGCTGCATGCAACCAGGGATGGAACCCAGGGCCTTG